CCTGCTTCTCCCTCTCCCACTCCCCCTGCTTGTGTTCCCTCCCTAGCTGTCTCTTTCTCTCTGTGTGTCAAATAAATAAATAAAATCTTTAAAAAAAAAAAAAAAGATAACTTTGAATAAAAACGGAGGCAAAAAAAAGCACTTCAGAGGTATAAACTTAAGTGTCAGAGAAATCCAAGACTGGAAGGTTCTATCCAGCGGCAAGTGTGGTTTTTTTGGGAATGGGAGTTGTAAGTAGCGTGTGGGCAGGTGTGGAGTGGGGATGGGGAAGCAGGGGGCAGCCCTTAATTTTTAAAACAAAGAAATGGAATTCTTTCTAGAATTAGGAAAAGCTGTGATTGAGACACAATACAACACTATTTGAGCTGCCGTTGCTCTTGAAAAGTTGTACCTAAACTGTACGTGCCTTGGGGAACTGCCTTCAGTTTCCTTCCATTATTATGGGCAGGGAGAAATGAAAATTGGAAAGGTGATGGAAATACTTGTACAGTTCCCTTTTGCCTCGGGGGCTCTCTTCTTCCAGGGGTGGGAAACAGTAAGGCACAGGTCAGTTCCCCCAAATTAAACAAAGGATTCGAGGGGAAATCGTTTGACAAATTTGCATGACTTGGACGACCATTCAATTACTCAGATCCCACAGAAGGCTGTTGACCTGGAAGATCTTAACTGGTCTTTCCAGGACCAAGTCTCATGAAAAAAAATAGTTCAACTTCCTATTTTCCCTTGGGTCTAGAGTCTATGTTGCCTCACTTAGGCAAGAGGACGATGATATGTCTGTAGCTGTTTCTCCAAACTTATTCATAACACTTAACAGCTAACTACACATTGCCTGCCTATCTGCCTGCCTACCTTTAGTTATACTTTCTAATGCCCTCTTTTTCTTAATATATGTCCCAGTTATTCACCTATTAATAATTTTGGTTGGCTCTTTTCAACATTTGTTCCAGTTCTTCACTTTTTTTTTTTTTACCGAAGTATTGGTTCTCCCTTTCCATCCAAGTCTTCCATCCATGAGTTCTGTTCATTCTGATCACCAGCTGTTGTTACCTTACCTCCCACAATGGATATGTTCATAGGATAATAGTTTGTAGATAGAAAATCCTTGAAGTTCATTATATAAAGAAAGAAATAGAGGCCCAGAAATGTCATATGACGTGAGTGGTTGCAGAGCCAAGACCAGAACTCGGGTCTCAATTAATGAAGGACTTTTTTAATGGTATAACCTGTTACATCTCTATAAGAGTCTTGATCCCCGTAGATTTAAGGTGCTGATTTCCCAACTTTTCTGACAGCATCAGCTGTGAGGTTTTTTAAAAGCATTGATTCTTGGAGTGCCTGGGTGGCCCAGTCGGTTAAGCTCCTGCCTTCAGCTCAGGTCATGATCCCCAGAGTCCTAGGATCAAACCCCTGTATCCGGCTCCCTGCTCAGTGAGGAGTCTGCTTCTCCCTCTCCCTCTGACCCTCCCCCTGCTTGTGGTCTTTCTTGCTCACACTCTTTCAAATAAATAAATAAAAATCTTAAATAAATAAATAATAAAATAAAATAAAAACACTGATTCTTGACACTGCCCATAGCAGATTACTGATCCATAGTCTCTGATAGTGAA